CTGTGTTTACATCAAACATTTGAGTTATATGATGAATATTTCTGATAAGTACTCATGGTATATTTTCTGATATTGGACAGACCGCTCTCCTTTCACCATAAGATGAATAATAAGTCCTGAGTGTCCCATTCTCCTCATTTTTCACGTTCTATTAGAAAGATGTGTGTTGGAGAGCAGTCTGAATTTCTATTTCATTTTTGTCTCTTGACTTCAAATGCCTTTCACATGAAGAGATGTTCGACCCGATAATCCTCTGTAACTTCTCCCATCAAGTTTAATAAAAGTTATGCACCAACAAACTCTCCCAAAACACAAACAAGCTGTAATAAATAAAACATGAACAGCATTGCTGTGAAAACCTAATATAACCGGTGTTTCCAAAAAAGAGGCCTGAACCAAAACGACATGGAGGAGGACTTTGATTAGACCATTCTATAGGGGGAAGTCCCAGTCCACCCCAAGAAAAAACTAAATACTAAAAGCTATAAATAATCCACACGAAGGATATTTGGGTAAATGAGGCATAATCAACCCGACCTATTTAACAGAAGAATGAATCTTTTAATGAAGAGTTACTGGAGGTCTGCTCATCTATCGAAGATGAAAGAAGGACTGAGTGACTCGAGCATTTTAGATCTTAACGTCTTTAAGAACTTCAGCAGGGAAGTTACAGTCCATAACAAATGACGGTTTCTTTACAGAAGACTCGTTTTTTCTCATTACCTCCTCTTTAGCATGTTAGCTCCCAAACGTTACCGCAGTGATGGACCGGCGCTTCCCCACTGAAGTCCGGTTTCTGGGTTAGAGCTCTCGGTGCTCTTTGGGTTAAACCCCGGTCCGTCAGAAGGTTGAGGTTTTTTAAACAATCAGTCCAGAAACACCAAAAATATTAAGACCTTCCCTGTCTTCTGGTAATTCCACTGATTCTGTCTTGCCCTCCTTGTCTAAAAGCTAGCTTCTAGCCTAGCTAATCTCATTTCTAGCCTAGCGCCGAGCCTAGCTTGGTGATGGCTCAGCCTCTTATTGAGTGAAGATGCTGCTTGTAGTCTGTCTTCTCTTGGCCAGGCTTTCTTCCAGGCCTTGTATTTCTAGTCTGGTGTCAGTTAGCTGCGCACCGTTGTCTTTTCTAAAACTGCAGATTCATCAGACCTGTTAGCGCTGCGACATTAGCCTTGGTCATGTTGGTTCTACGTGGTCTCGTCCTCCAGGTTCAGTTTCTCTTTTTAGCAAAAGTCACTGGATCTAAAGTCTTACTTTCTATGAAATTAAAATAGAAAGTAAACATTGCTATTAATCAAAAATGTTCTGGCTCTAACACTTTGTTGAAGAAGAATTAAAGTTTTCATTGAAATTCTCACGTAAAAAATGACAGAAGTCAGATTTGTTCCAGTCTTAACTGCAGCCACACACATTTGTTTGAAAGACCACAAATGGCCCACGGGCCGCACTTTGGACACCCCTGGCATAGACACTACCCATGTAATCCATAACATAGCATCTATAAGACAGCAGCAGATTGGAAGCTTAACAGTCCTGCATTAAACAGAAAATCTTTGAGAATTTCTTTGTTTCTTTAAATTTGTGAATTATTGCACATGAATATAATTTTACTGGTGATATTTGATGCTTTCATTTTGTTGTGATTCCCTGCAGAACGGTGCTGATGAAGCAGAGCTCTCCTCCTCTTCCTCTCCTGAGTCATAGCTCCTCCCTCCTCTTCCTCAGTGTGTGTCTCCCTCCGTCTGCAGCATGGCGTCTCTCGGCCTCCTGCTGCTCGGCGCCGCTCTGCTCCACGCCGCTCAGGTAAGAACATGTCCAGGTGTCCATCTTCATCTTCAACTATGGCCATGATGCTGCGTCGTCATGGTGACTGCAGAAAGATGCTGCTTTTCTTCTTTTAGTATGACGTCACACACACACAGTTATGTGTGTGTGTGTGTGTGTGCGTGTGTTCTGCTCCTGTCCTGTTTGTCTGAGTTTACCTGCTGTGTGAGGACCAGGCTGGACGCTCAGCCTCAGATTCAGAACCGTTTAGAACCGGGTTTGGATCCGACAGTCCTCAGAACAGGAGTGAATCAGGACTGTGTGTGTGTGTGTGTGTGTGTGTGTGTCTCTGAAGCTTAGCTTCTGCGACATTTTATTTCATCTGCTGTCACCATGACGACAGGACATGGTCACCCACAGCAACAAGGCAGCGTATTACACAGGATGCAGCAGGTCACCTTACATCACTCTGTGTGTGTGTTAGTGTGTATCAGTGTGTGCGTGTGTGTTGTGGTTCCTTGCTAGTGAAGCTGTGAATCATTCATTTCTTCCCCCTGAAGGTAAGTCAGGTTCAGCCTCGGCCCGTTGCCATGGTTACGTCATCATGAAAACATGAACTGTTGATTCAGCTCCATTCATCGGTGCCGACTCATCGTTAAAGTCCAAACCTGACTGAAGCTCCGACACCAGTCAGAGTTAAACTGGTTCCCAGTTCCTCCTCCCCCAGGAGAGTTTATTACTGCCATCAATCAGGACAGGAAACAGGAAATAGATCTGGCTGCAGCCAATCAATCTGATTGGTTCCTGACAATCTGAGCCATCAGTCTGACCAATCCCTGGAGGAAGAACTGGAGAGATGGGCGGGGCTTCTGTGGCAGTCATATCCATCATTACAGCTGGGCTGGACAGAGCCGGAACAACATCAGTGCTTCATATCAGTCAGTTAATAAAATATTGATCAGTTTAGTGTTTAAAAAAATCTGAAATTCTGTCAAACTGCTGACCAGACGTTTCCTGTTTCAGGTTGTTGCTAGGCAACTGAAGAATGCCTAGCAATGTGAGCAAGTTAGTTGATGCCACCAACTTAGCTTAGCTAGCCGTGAGCAGCTAAAGCCTTTCCTCTGCCTGCGTCTCCCAGAATGCTATGCGGTTCTGGATCGAAGTTCAGGGAATAATCTGTCTGTCGCGCAAGCTATGGCTATAAGGCAAAAAACAGTGGCGTTCATTTTCACCATGTTATTCATATAAATGTCAGCTTACACTAAATATGAATCTCCAAGCTAAATAAAGTAAAGGTCAAAGTCATTATTTACTATTTTTTTTGTTTTTGTTTTTTTGGCAGAAAATTACTAAGACATTTTTTAGGAGGTTGGCAATATTTAGCTTGATGCTAGCTAAATGTTTAGTTACTAAATGTTTATGTAGCTCAAAGCTAACTATTTAGCTTTAAACTATGATGATCACTTAAATCCTCCTAACATGGAGTGTTTGGCTTAGCAAGGCAAGAAGCTAACAGAGCTAACAGTAACAGTCAGGTGT